TTTTCTCTATTTTTAAATTCGTTCAAAACATCTTAAAATGTGTGTAATGCCGGTTATAAAAAAAGTATTTCGCCCCCGGATAATAATGTGATTAAATTAGTTGTCAAATGATATTTTTTTTAACAAATAATATTATCCACACTAAGGGGAAGGGGGTGAGTTTAGCCTTGCAATGAGATAGCAATAATGTGATTCAATCAGTTGTTTATTAAATATTATTTTCTCTATTCTTAATATAAATTCAATAGAGACCGATTTTATTATATGGATTCAACTGTTTTAATTGGTTTATGAAAGGTTTCATCTAGCATGATTTAAGATTATTCATTTATTTCCAATATTTAATTTTTCTTTTGACAATTTACTTCTATAAATACATTTAAAACACCACCACGAGCATAAAGGCTAATATGGATAATTGGGAGAATTTGCACCTTTTAACCTTGATATAGGTACGATACTGTATGTATGCTTGTTTATCGTTCTACTGAAACATTATCTTTTTGCACATTTTACTCTAGTTTTGCTACAACATTGTGAATGCAAGATAATGTATAAAACCAAATTGTGTTAATATGAAAAGGTGTGTTAATACACCAACGAATGAGAGAGTGCCGCGTCGGTTTGCAGTGGAACTTGACCATGTTTACTTGACAAGACTAATTTTTTATTTATATTTTTTGGTCTGAAAATGTTACCATTGGCAATTTGCCATTGCACATATGTAGCTGGTTACACACTGAGAGAAGTACGAAACTAAGCCTTTAAAATGAAAGTTACAGATTACACTTGAAATCGCAAAGTCCACCCCAATCTGAACGAACTAACAGGAACCCTAAAAAAGAAAAAAATTGCAATTACAAAGAACCCTCGACTTTCCCAATTTGCCTCCAATCTGAATGAACTGACAGGAACCCTAAAAAACAAAATTGCAATTACACTTTAAATCCCAAATACGCTGTGACTAAAGAACCCTCGACTTTCCCAACTTGCCCTTACACTTTCACTCTTGCCATTCTGCCCTTCTTATTCACATGGCTTCGTTCCTCTGTCTATTTGCCCTTTCCTCTTTTTCGATGTTCCCTTCTTGCCCTGTTGCTGCACAGTGGATGCCTTATTGCTCATCTTCACGATATCGGTCATTCTTTGGAATTTCAGATCAACTTTGGATGCATCTACAAGTTCCCGCATAACCTTGTGTTGAGGGTTACTGCAGCTGGCCCTAAAAGAAGCATTCCAGTGGTGCTCCTTGCCAAGATCGATGGTTTTCTTGAGAGAGAATTTTCGACTAAATATTTGGACTGGGTGGCGCAGCTTATATAGCCATGTGTTCCGATGGGGATTGGAGGGAAGGAAAGAGTCGGTTACCTCAAGTTGTTATTTCTGTTATTAAATTTGTTGCTTTCTGTTATTTTCTTGCAACTGAAACATTTTTGTTAAAGATTATTAAATTTGTTGCAATTACACTTTTAAATCTCAAATACGCTGTGACGATATGCTTAAGGGCTTGAGAAGGATATATGTGGATATATATTTACAATGAGTTTGGTATCGCATCGTGGCTAACTGATGTGGTTAAGTAGCTATTGTGCGTAGGTTGACTCATTCCAACTTCTAAAGGTACTTGCATATATCCCTATTATTATAGATTTTAGATTCAACTCCGATGAATGATAAATTGATATTTAATTATGTTAAGCACATTGTACAATTTAGTCTAATTCTCAGTTTACAGTTGTGTAAAAAGGATTAAAATAATCTAGGCAAATGATCCATCAAAATTCTAATAATTAATCCGACCAAAAAAATTAAGGTTGAAAAAATAAACAAAATAAATACAACTCTATCTACATAGACTCTCTGTCACCTCATATTTTTTGGTATAATATTTTATAATACGAACACATAAATTGACGTTAAACAAGTCTATGGAGAGCCTCATTTTGATTTGGTGAAGAAGAGTGCAGTTTGCAGTAGCACGTGACGTCACAGGAACGTCCTCCGGGAACTCAGGAACAAGGCAAACAGACGATCGCCGAATCGTGTTCGATTCGGGTTCGCAAGACTCAACTGCCTCTCAAACTTATCATCCGTCCGATCAACATACTTTTGTTGTTCCAACCTGTCGGAGAACTTATTGAACTTTAGGAGATACCGGTGTGGGGTCTTCCAAGCACCACTCTTTGGGCTTATGGCAATCGAGTCAATGGGAGATCAGGGATTGTGGATACATTCCATCAGAATTAGTCAGCAATTAGAATAAAAACTGAAAATGAATTATATTCCACCAGTTTTAAACACAAATAGTGGCACTAATCACATATTTTGCAAGTATAGCAGAAATATGAACACGAACTAACAATTGAAACCTATGGTAGATACAAATTGCCTAAACAATTGAAACTTGTTTGATCCCTATAGTATTTGTGAGTTGAAGAAGTGAAATAATCCAGGCCCGAGCTGTGTCATCGACATTCAGTCAGGAAGGCCTCGATAGGAGAGTGGGTTGTAGGTCAATGCTGACTGTGATAAGTCAGTAAGAAATTTAGGAAAGGCCTACTGTTTGATGCTGGTTGATGGCTTTTCAGTCAGGCTAAAGTTCGATGGGCCAGTTGATTGGTGGCCGAACAGTGAGAAAATGTTTAGAGGAATAAAACCAACTGTTACATTGAAGGAGGCTTAGGGTTACTGTGGCCACCCCTTCCTGTATGGGAAATAAATAGATGGGTTACTGTACCCCCTCTCTTGCTCTGTGTTTGTTGCTTTCTGTGTTGTTCCCCCTTGGGTGGGCTTCGTGTTCATTTGGCTTCGGTCCTGGTTATTTTATTTCTAGTTCTCCAAAAAAATAAAAAATAAAAATAAATAAATAGATGGGATGAGTGTACCACAGCAACATGTATACGGAGTGTACCACAGCAACATGTATATGGTGTGTGCTTCCATTCCAATCAACTGTTTCCATATATCAATTTCTTCTTGGAATTTTTTTTTAACTTATGCACAGCCAGGCACCTCCTTCCTTTCATCCTTTAAAATCTTGCACAAAAGATTTATTCGATACAAATGTCCCTGGTATAACTTATTTGTGGCTTCTTTCTCTTTGTTTCTTTTCCGGTTTGTTATAGGGGTTCTTCTTGCTGCAGAATTTCAATTTGGGTTCTTGTTACTGTGCAAATGCTGCCTGTGGTATCTATTAATTTTGTTGCTGCTCACAACACCATTAGAATAGCTCCATAAGCTGCTTCTTAAGCTTCCGTCTTATACCTATTTAATTCTATTTTTGGACCAACAAGTATAAATTGCCTTCAGTTGCTCCAATCCTTTAGTCCTTCCCAGATCGTTAAAAGTTTTCTTTAAACTTTCACCTAACAAGAAATGGTCATTTCCTTCAATTACCATTTACCAATCAAGTTCTGTTCTTAACTAGGTATGCAACTTTGCCTTATTTCAAATATCCACTGGGACCACCGCTCGTCTGGGATCCTTTGGCGAGATCCTCCTTGGCTTTCTCAACTGCTTCCTGGCTTTCACCGAGTGCAGATCAGAGAGAGACTGAAATCTGCGTGCACCACCACGCATCACCATCTTCGCAGCTGCCATTGTCAAGGTTAGAAAGAGAGGGGGCAGAGAGCAGAGAGAAAGCCAAGGAGGATCTCGCCAAAGGATCCCAGGAAGTAGTTAAGAAAGCCAAGGAGGATCTTGCCAGAAACATTGAGCGCCTCAAGCTCTGGACTCACGCCTTTGTACAGACCAAGAAAGACCTACAACTAGCCATCGATCTTGGCGAGGAGCACCACTGGAACGCTTCTTTCAGCGCCAGCTGCAGTAACCCTCAACGCAAGGTTATGCGGAAACTTGCAGACACGTCCAAGGTCGATCTGAAATCCCAAAGAATGACCGACATTGTGGAGATGAGCAATAAGCCATCCACTGTGCAGCAATAGGGCAAGAAGGGAACAACGAAAAGGGAAAAGGGCAAATAGACAGAGGAACGAAGCCACATGAATAAGAAGGGCAAAATGGCAAGAGTGAAAGTGTAAGGGCAAATTGGGGAAGTCGAGGGTTCTTTATTTGCCCTTTCCCCTTTTCACTGTTCCGTTCTTGCCCTGTTGCTGCACAGTGGATGCCTTATTACTCATCTCCACGATATCGGTCATTCTTTGGAATTTCAGATTGACCTTGGATGCGTCTGCACGTTCCCGCATAACCTTGCGTTGAAGGTTACTGCAGCTGGCGCTGAAAGAAACGTTCCAGTGGTGCTCCTTGCCAAGATCGATGGTTTTCTTGAGAGAGAATTTTCGACTGAATATTTGGACTAGATGGCCTCGACTTATATAGTCGTGTGTTCCGAAGGGGATTGGAGGGAAAGAAAGAGTTGGTTACCTCAGGTTGTTATTTCTGTTATTAAATTTGTTACTTTATGTTATTTTCTTGCAACTGAAACATTTTTGTTAAAGATTATTAAATTTGTTGCAATTACACTTTTAAATCCCAAATAGGCTATGACAATATGCTTAAGGGCTTGAGAAGGATATATGTGGATATATATTTACAATGAGTTTGGTATCGCATCGTGGCTAACTAATGTGGTAGGTTGACTCATTCCAACTTCTAAAGGTACTTGCATATATCCCTATTATTATAGATTTTAGGTTCGACTCCGATGAATAATAAATTTGATATTTAATTATGTTAGGCACATTGTACGGTTTAGTCTAATTCTCAGTTAACGATTGTGTAAAAAGGATTAAAATAATCTAGGCAAATGATCCATCAAAATTCTAAGAATTAATCCAACAAAAAAAATTAAGGTTGAAAAAATAAACAAAATAAATACAACTCTATCTACATAGACTTTGTCATCTCATATTTTTTGGTATAATATATTATAATATGAACACATAAATTGACGTTAAACGAGTTTATGGAGAAGCCTCACTTTGATTTGGTGAAGAAGAGTGCAGTTTGCCGTAGCACGTGACGTCACAGGAACTCAGGAACAAGGCAAACAGACGATCGCCGAATCGTCTTCGATTCGGGTTCGCAAGACTCAAATGCCTCTCAAACTTATCATCCGTCCGATCAACATACTTTTATTGTTTCAACAATCAAGACTCAACTACCTCTCAAACTTATCATCCGTCCGATCAACATACTTTTGTTGTTCCAACAATCGACCGGTAAATAATTAAACACCACCATAGCATCATACACCCGAAGGAACACCGCAATCTTATCTCCTCTCGGCGACCGGGAAGCGCAAGTGTTCTTCGCTGGAAGTATTTGTTTCTATTCATTTTCTTTTCCGATTATCCAAACAGAAGCTAAGAAGAAGAATCCGTCGGACGAAATCTCACTGACCGGAGCGCCCAATCCAATGGCGATTTCCGTGACGGCGTCCGCGATTCCTTGTCTCAGCTCTGACCGTACGGCTCGCATAGTTGCGGCGGCGGCATCATCCTCTTCTTCTTGTTCAAAGCTGTCCTCCTCGACTTCTCTGCGATTTCCATCACACCTTCGACACGTTCGGATCGGAACACGGGACTCACGGCCTCGGATTCTTCCTCCGGTAATCAGTTTTCCGATTTTGTAGTTTCGCGGTTTGTTTGTTTCCCGAGAAAATCAAGGAAAATATTTAAAATTTCTGCAGCTCGCAAGTTAAATTCCTTTTCCGAAATTTCTCTAGTGGATTAAATTGCAAAATTTGAATTTAGGGAGCAAAGCATACAACTGGAAATCTTATTGTTATCATATTTCTGGCAAGAAAGCCAATTGCTTTGTATTTCTTTGCCCTTTCCGTTTCCTCTAAGTTGTGAGAAAACCACATGGGTTGGTTTTTCGGGTTTTCGAAATTAAAGTCTTTTCGGGTGAAGAAATATAATTCATAGGGAAGTGCAGGCAAAGTAAACTGTTAGTGAGATACCGATAGCATGCTATGAGCTTAAGAAGGAGATGGAACTCACTATTGATTGTCTTTGAAATGTTTCTATTTGATGTTGGCGCACTCTCGTTTAGTTATCGGTAAACTAGTTTGGTATTGAACCTCTCCCAAATAATTAGAATTCACATTGTCACCCATGTAGGGTATTAGGTTGCGAGAATCTGATCTACCCTACCGTTTGGGCATAAAGTTGGGGAGGGACAAACCTAGAAACAAAACTATTGAATGGGACGGAAGGTATAGATTATAAAACTGGGATACTATCTACTAAAGATGTGAATGCTAGTGACGGTGAGGAACCCATATTCGGGACCTTCATGCATGGACTCACTTGTTCTTTAATCATCTAATCAGCAGTCAAGTATTTGTACCAGTCAATCAACAACGGTCCTCCTATCACCACTCGCTGTGCCCCAAGTTAAAGGTGCCGCTTTCCATTGAGGATGATATGACCTATCACTTATGTAGTTATCCATGTGGACAATGTTGTGACAGATTCGAATAGCTGTGTGTACTCTTTCTTTGCTGTCTTTGGAATATTTGGCCTATATAGCTGAATTACGAAGTTTGACCGAATTGGTGATACGGTACTTACATGTATGTTTGAAAAAAATTAATTTTCGTAGGTTGAAGCAAAGAAGCAAACATTTTCCTCCTTCGAAGATTTGCTGGCTACCTCCGAAAAACCTGTGTTGGTTGACTTCTATGCAACCTGGTAAGCTTTGCTTGTATATCTTGCTTCTTATTTTGTTTGTACAGAAATTCTCTAATATCAAAAGTGAATGCTCATAAAGGTGCGTCTCTCATGTGTGTAAGAGAATAGCCCTTTATTTAACCTATCTGCAAGGGATTACGAATAAATGGTCCTATAATCCTATGAGGCTGTATTACCATTCATCTAGGATTCTACGTAGGGTCCGTTACTTTCAAACTACTATAACAGTTTGCATCATTGTAATTATTGTTGTATTGTCAGTTAAACTTTTAGTTCCTAAACAACGTGATGCTATTCACCTTTTAGGTTTTCCATCTCTCTTTGTCTTGCCTTGAAAGGAAGTATATAAAGGTAGCACGGACAATTAAGTAATAACCTGTGGTTGACAGGTGCGGTCCTTGTCAGTTTATGGCACCTATCCTCAATGAAGTCAGCATTACGCTGAATGACAAGATCCAGGTTGTGAAAATTGACACGGAGAAGTATCCTAGCATTGCTGATAAATATAGCATACAAGCATTGCCTACTTTCATCATATTTAAGGATGGAGAGCCATTTGACCGCTTTGTAAGTTGAATTTGTTCTACTTTTTCCTTTGGGAGATGATTATTATGTGTCTCTTTTAACAATCAAATACCTAGCAATGTGTGATCTGTCAGATAACATATTGACTGCAAGCTTTTCGTACAGCCATAACATGGAGGGGTATTGTTAATGTTGTTATGCTTTGCTGTTAATTCCACTTTTTAGATTTTGTAAGATATCCTATGTACATGCATCGGTTTCCAATTTCATCAGGTGTGTTGCTTCGCATGCTTTTCTTCTTCTTTTGTTTGGTTTTGATTCCGAAATGTTGAATTTGAAGGATGTATGTCCTCTTTGATCCAAAATATTAAATAAGATAAATATTGTATGTTCTCTGTGCATGTGTTCAAGCCACTGCTAGATTAATAATAACCGATTCACCATCATCAGTTCGATTTTAAATATCTTTGATTATTTTGCTTTCATTACTTGCAGGAGGGTGCTCTGACTGCTGATCAGCTTGTCGAACGAATAGAAACTACTTTGAAAGTTAGGAAGTAGCGGGTGAGCTCTATAATATTCACGAGTTGAGAAAACTCTTATAGCAAGCTGTTCTTTCTCTGCTTCCCCCTCCCCATTTTCAAACCTTTCCCTTTTCTTCACTCTTCTTTTATTGGTCCAGCTTCTCAGGTTGAACCGAATCGATTCAGCCGCATCTGAGGGGATATGGATGAAATTTATTAATTGCCTTCGGGACATTCATTTCATATGTGATGAAATTTATTCTAGGCTTGTTTAGTTTGGCACGGTTGGAGCTTGAATTGGACATTCAGTTACTGCTTGCTTTGATACCATGTCAAAATTAGTGTCACTAATTAACAATGGCATATCAAATAAAGGTCGTACCCAGTGCACAAGGCTCCCGCTTTACGCAGGGTTTGGGAGAGGTGAATGTCGGCTAGCCTTACCCCCATTTTATGAAGAGGCTGCTCCCAAGTCTCGAACCCGAGACCTACCGTTCATGGGCGAAGACACTTGCCATCGCACCAAGTGCGACCTCTTTAACAATGGCATATCAAATGAAGAAATTATTTCGGCATGCCTCCTTTCAATTTTGCATTCTCCTGTTTACTTCACAAGCGCACGAGTCAATTGTAGTAAAGATGTGCAATACGAAATCAAATTCACTGGGATCGATTGAATCCTATAAGTATTATTTTAATGTACCAAAGATTTGATTTGTATTGAACTAATATTTTATTAAGCGACTACCCAACTAACAAATATTTGATACCGCTACTCGTACCGAATGCTTGGAAAATTTTCGATTTTGGTTACCGGTTCGGTATTGTCAGTTCAGATTTTTATTTCGGCTCACGTTGGAAACAAATGAAAGACGAAGTTGAGGCCACAGTCGAATTAAAGAACCAAAATTGTCATCTCCTGATGCATACCTGTTTCTGTTTGTGTCAAAAATACATCGTCATCGACGCAATGAATGTTCAAACAGTTGCATACATGACAAATTTTGGTTCTTTAAGGTACCTTAAAGTGACTTCTTACTGAATGTTACAATAGTTGCATACATGACCGTCACTAACGTCAATGTTTCTTCTTTTTGTTGGACTTTGAGCTGGAGCCATGCTCATTTTTACGTCGCTTTTCCCCGCTCTTGTGACTCTCTCTCTCTTTTCCCTTATCCGTTTTGTTTCTACTTGATTTCACACTAACGAGACCACCAGCTGGTAAGTTTACACCGCCATTCTGTAATGCATTCTTAAAGTCTGCATCTCTGTCCCCAATCGCATACTGCTGAAGCAACTTGGGATCTAATGATCCGTCTGTGTTGGATCTCACCCCGTCCTGTATGTGCGAAGTCAAGTCAGCCCAACTCTTGGAATCCAGAACGCAGGAAAGAGAGGTAGGTCGGGTAACAGGGAAGGTAAGGAAGGAAAAAAGCATACCTCAACTTTTCTTGCAGCATCATTGAGATCATCATCAACAGAGATTTTGTGAGGTTCCAAGAGAGTCTGAACCAAAAGTTTCGAATCAGAGTGGAGTTACAACTTAGGCAGAAGAAAAGCACAATAGCATACATACATGCACACAAATTTTATAATGTAATAGACGATGTTAAGCTTGCATTAAACAACTTCTGTTGCAAAGCTTTGCTTGACTGATCAAATAAATAGGCATATTGCTGCTAGAAACTACAACAGAGTTTATGTTTCCATTCTCATTCTCATTGGGATGTAATAGTAATCTTACACCTGCTGGCGATAAAAGATGGTTATAGATAAGGTAATGAACCAAACTACCGCTTGCATGCTGCTAAATGAAGCTCAGCACAAGCTCGTTCAAGGTACCCAAATAAGCTAAACGAGCCAAGCATCCAATCCACGATTGTCATGGTCAGCTCTTTAGGCTCACAAGCAAATCATCCATATCAACAGGCAATATCTGTGCAGTAGTCCCACATTGCATACAAAACAAAGTTGCCTACCTTTTATTAATTTCTTGTTCTCAAGGATGATGAGGTCAACCAAGCCCTATCAAGCCAGTTGCAAAGCCTCACGTGTCATGTGTGCAGGAGTTGAGCTCGAGACTAACTAAAGCCTAGTTATGCGCAAAATATATATATAAAATAACTTTTATCATCTTGCAATATATTTTTAAAAAGAACTTCTCCTGTGAAGATCTTTACATTCATAATGGAAAGATGTTGTAGTGCATATTGAAATTCCGTACAACTTAATAGACTTGTTGGAATTATGAAATCTCTCTATATGTAAAATAATTGTATCTGGTGGAGATTGTATGCAAAAGAAACGTGATAGTGTAAACTTAATGATGACATATCAAACAAAATAGTTCAGGTGCAGAGAGAATTGCTTTCACCAGAAACACGTCAGTATCATATTGTTAAGCCTACGAGAATCATAAAACATTCTACGACGTGAAAAGAAATAGAAACCACCAACTTGTCATGTATTTTCCACAAGAAAGAAAAAGGTTACTGCTTTGCTGAACTTACTTCTTTTGGTTTAGGCAAGGTTGACTCGAGGCCCTCAGATGCAATAGCATATAGATATTTGTGAAACTTTTTCATAACTTTTATAAAGAGAGACAATATTTGCTGCCTTTCCAATTTCATCAACCCCTGGAAAACATGAACGTAAGTAAAAATTTACACCTGATAAGAATGAAATAAAGGGTACAAATGACGCCACCAAGCAGTGTTTTGTCTTTGCAAGTGAGTTTGAGTGCACGCTCGCATCTATGTGACTGGCATAGCCAAGCAAACCATAAGAGCAACAAGCAGAGAAACATACCTCAATATAGGAGATATCTTGATTTTGTAAGCCAATGCAGAGCAATATGGAAGCCTGGGCACCTGTCAATGTCACTGGAAGCTTCTCTTGGAAATACAGATGTGAAAGCGTTGGAACAAGATCCAAAATCTGTAAAACAAAAACATAAGTTTGACATATGCATAAACAAACAATAACTAGAATACCAGAGGATCTCCGTTTATAAAATAACACTTCATTTCCAAATGGACCCCAGGGTTTAAACTGTAATTTTAAAAAACAATTCTCGGGTGATTTAGTATGGTGGATAGTTGAGGATGAAAATGCAATAATCTATGCCTAACCGGAGGAAGACATATTGACACATTCAAACTGGCTGTTTTTCGGAAAAAGAGAAGGAAGCAAATAATCCACTCAAAACCATAATCAACACAAATAGACCAACACGGCCATTGATCATGGCTGCACTGCACCTTCCTGAGAGCCTCACAACAAATGGGTTCACTTCCTTCAGGGGAATACCCACGAGGGGTTTAGGGTGGGAAGGGAAAAGGAGGGGTCTAATAGCCTAACCGTTATTGATTTCATCTTTTCAAGCAACTCTCTCATCTTCTTATGTAACACAGAGAACGGGATGAAACATCGGCCACAGAATTCTAAACACAACTTTAAACAAATCCCCCTCTCTAACAAGCAATTTTGAACTTTATGTAACACAGAGCATGGGATGAAACATCGACCACAAAATCCTAAATGGGGGTAAGGCTAGCCGACATTCACCTCTCCCAGACCCTGCGTAAAGCGGGAGCCTTGTGCACTGGGTACGACCTTTTTTTTTAATGTTTTATTTTTGGGACTTCCCAACTGAACAGATATATACACATAGATAAATAACTGAACACAAAATGTCCTAATAGTTCACTTTGAAAAAGATTATCCATAAAACATAAACATTGCAAGAGTAATTTGTATCACAATCATGTTATCAGATTGTCCATAGTAAGAAAACAAACATTCCAGCACTGTCAATTATCGTAATCACATAATCATGTTGTCAAATTGAGATGATAATTCTATCACAAAGGAACACAATTTTTTTTTTTTTGTCAAACGATAGATTTTGTTAGATAAGATGTTAGATTAGCCACCGACGGAGTTCGAACCCATGCTGTCATGCAAGGGCTCAACTCCTTTCCACCACTGTGGTAAAGGGCCACTTGCGAATACAAATTTTCTTTTGTAATGCAAATATTACTTTTACCTTTTTAATAAAGGAAAGCATATTTTGTTTTGTAACGCAAATATTTAATTTTTTCTAAAGGGAAAGTATATTTTGTTTTGTAATGCAAACATTACTTTTTTTCTACTATGAATGTACGGAATCAATTGGTAATCCTAAGACAAAAATCCCAAAACAGTACATATCACTATGATGGGCAAGTCGGCAATCAACCATTGTTCAGAGAACTTACCATATGAAAGTCAGCAAGACTGCTGGTGTAGGCCTGTAGTCGTTTCATATCATAAGGTGAAAGTAAGTCTGTGATTGACTGTAAGAATCCATCTGCGGTAGACGATTTGGGTTCTAGATCCTTGTAATTGATCTTAGGATCTAAGATGCTGGATAATTACAAGTTAGTATGAGCACTTGAGCAATAAGCACTTATCTGAAGGAAACTTTTAACAGTACCTCATAGCAAGCCTATAATCCATCGTACGAAAACTATAACCCAATAGTCTCAAAAATCTTCTCCTGAAATCTGGGGTAGCCAACAAATAATCAAGCTGTGGACTGAGGTACAAAAAATCTGCAAAAATCTAAATAGAACAGAGGTTCTTCTAAGAAAAATGGGCCCACCTAGGTAGAATGGACGAAAATCACTGGTTTCAAGTTCATCATTCTTCAAAGATTTGAGGACCATACATGTATGCTCCCCCGTCACAGCACTCTATTACATTGAAAAGAAGTGCAAAATTATTGTTTAATCAATCATTCATTCACAAATGATAATATTCAAAAAACAGTTAAAAGGATAAATGATTCAGTGTCGGGAGGGGAATCCATCTTAACTGGAATATGTCCAATATAGAATGGAGCAAACTTATGTTTCCACCAAAACCGGAAAAGGTCCAATGTAAGCCCAAAGGAGACACCAATATAATGGAGTTTCTCTGGTCGCCTTTCACGAAGATGAACGAGCAAATGAGGAAGATCTGTTCTAGGTTTTATACTTTCTTCCAGCAATGAAACCTACAAGTAATAGACATAGGTATCATTCAGATAACAATATCAAGGCACAGGAGGCATGTTGATTAATGCCAAACAAACAGACCAATACATGATATACTTTGATATCACTATGATTAAAATTAACACGACAAATGATCATTCACAAAAGTTTGTTCAAATTATATTCAAACACAGATATTTTTTACCAACTCAAACAGGACGAAGTTTAACCAACTCAAACACTTCGAACAAGCATTGCATTTACCATAGACCTCTGGCTTACAAAACTGTCATCCAATGGTAGTTTTCAATAATATGTAGAATAGTCTCATATAAGCAGTTCTCCAACCTGTTAATTATAAATATTTAAAAAAAAAAAAAAACAAAGCACCAAAGAAACTATGCTGAGTGATTGTAGTTGACCTTCTCAGCAGCTTCTGTGACTTTGAGTGGTGGAGTCTCAACAACATCTTCAACGTCCAGTTCAGAAATAGGAGCAAACTGTCCTTCATAGTACCTGAGGAGAAATAAATCCTTAAAACTCCCATTTTTTCAAATACAAAAGCATAAATGTGAAGCATCAACTTTTAGAACCAAAGAGATTCAGTGAAATGTTAGTATAGAAACTTTTTATCTCAATAAGGAAGTACTTATGAGTTCCATTATACAAGAGCAATGCAT